TGGCACCACAGACAAACAGTGAGAGGCTGCATGCGCCTCAACGTCGTCCCCAGCTCCCGTGCTCTCTTTGACTTGGTTTTAAAATCTCAGCATTCACGTTTGTACTTTTCAAGTTGATTTATGTGCCTATTAATTAATGTCTACATCTATGTAAATATTAAATATCTCTAGACTGCTTTCATATTTGTCTGATTAGGCATGTGTCTGCAAATTATATATCAGCTGATTTGTACACACCAACCAACATCAATGCTTATCACATCAGAATTGGGATTTTCTCTGGTTATGACAGATGTTAAAATCTGTGCTCTTGCACCATTTCTCAAACCCTCCTGCCCTCCCCCTTCTAGTCCTCCAAAGTTAAATATTTCGAAGATGCTTTTGTGCATAACAGTGGTATCATATCTACTAAAGTACTGCACTGTTTTTAGTATGTGTGTCACAGTCAAGTGTGTGGGTCTGTTCCCCACTGACTGGCTTGAGGGTTAGTGTTATATTGGTTTGACAAGCTCTTTCATTCTCTCTTGCTCGGCCAAGACTGTCCTCTGGTAGTGTCTTGAGGATTGGCCCCTTCCATACTTATATTTGATGCTTACTGCCAATTCAGAATATCAAGATTTTGACTCAAATAGATTTTTGAACTTGACATTTTGATCGGATTTAATTTTCAAGATATATTTACCATTAGCTTTAAAATTTTTATGTGTTTAATGTTATGTGTATGAGCATTTTGCTGCATGTATGTCTGTGTGCCACGTGCACACCTTGAGCCTGCGGAGGTCGGAAGTGGGTGTTGGATCCCTAGAAACTGGAGTTACAGAAATGGTTGTGAGCTGCCATGTGGGTGTTGCGAACTGAACCCAGGTCCTCTGCAAGAGCAGCCAGTGTTCGTAACTGCTGAGCCATCTCTCCAGCGCCACCATTTGCCTTTTTATTTGAAGGGCAAGCTGGCAAGCTGTGAGACTTTGGGAGGACTGTACGGGCATCCGTCTTCGGTGTCCTAGCATTGAATCCTGCTCCTCGGCATCACAGCCCAGCCTGACTCGTTTCCCCTTTTTCTTCCCTCTGGTCCTGGACAGTTAGTTCTTGCTGCATCCATCTGTCCTTCTCCAGATCCTTTTGAGTCCCCCTGGAATGATCGTGCACAGGGCTGGTTTCTTTATGAGGTTTAAAACCCTCAGGATGCTTGTGAGATACTTGGCGTGTTAGACACCAACTGAGGGCGTCCCGATGGGATTGGGGTGTGTTAGAGGCAGGTGTTTCAACTTCATTTCTTCTGATCACACCCGATGAGGATTTAGTTCCCAGCACAGCCCCGCTCCTCTCTGCTTTGGCTCTTCTTGCTGATGTGTCTTCCTGGGATTCCTGGTTCAGGCTCTCACTGCTCTGTACGCTGCAAGGTACACAGGTTTCTGCCCTAAGCAGGGTTGTTAGTTTCCACGGTGGGTTTTGTCACCCTGTTCCTGCCACCCATCACCACAGGTAACTTCCCAGCCACCTCCACTCTTCTGTTTAATCCTCATTGCACATGCCAGCTCTTCCTGGCACACACAGGCTCGGGGGGGGGGGCTAAGGCACCCACCCCTCTGTTTCTCATTTTCTCTTTGGGTTTTGGTGAGTGTTTGCCAGGAGGAGGGGGACCACTCTCTCTTGTTTAAAGATGCCTCTCACTGCTTCGGGCAGTGTCTCAGCTACAGCTGAGCACTGGAGATGTGTCCCAAGCAGGAACCTAGAGTAGATCCAGGGGAATGCACCCTGGTGGGGGTGGGGTGGGCTGGGGTGGGCTGGGGGGTGTGGATCGTCCCAGAGTCCACTCTGCTGTCCAAGAGTTCTGACATAGCTTGTGTGCTAGGCAACCAGATGCTGGTCCGGCACAGACTGTGTCAGGGCTCCAAACAGGAACTGGGACCAGTCAGACTCTGGTAGGGTCAACCGTGGGTTCGGCTTCATCTCAGCAGTGAACCCATATTTAAATGAACTACAGGCAGTTTTCCCTGCAGTAACTTAACACAGTGCTTCTGTGACACCTGTTGAGAATGTCACCTGCATCCTCCTTATGTAGGGTCTGCTCGGGCATCAGCGATGGGTCTTTACCCCCCACCCTGTCCCCCTACTCCTCCCACTCCTGACTCTGAGTCCCTCAGTGAACTTGGCCTGTACTTGCAGGCTCTTGGCTTCATGAATGATTGAACACTCAGCCAGAGCCTTGATTCTTAAGTGTCTTAGCCTTTGTCCCCACCTCAGAGCCCTCAGCTGCCTTCCTGCATCTTGTTTACCCTGGTCTTGTGCAGTCCTGAGGCTGAGGGCTCCCTCATAAGGCCCTGCCAAATGTCAGGCGTGGTGATTCTGAGTCAGCTTGCTCTTCCGCTCTCTCCTGTAGCTGAGGGACAGAAAGAAGCCTCATGTTGGCCATATCTTCATGTCCACCTTGTGCCTCACATATTCATGGGCAGCACCCAAGAGGATCTCGGCCTGTTTGTTGATCCCCTAAAGCAGTATTTAGATCAGCTTCCACAGAAGCTCAGAGAACATGGTGCTCTCTTCTGTGGGATACGTCAAGGATTCCGGGGCCTGATGTGCTCAGAGCAGAGAGTCAGGAGATGGCTCTGCAGGGCCGAGAGCTGTAGGAGCCCCTGCTGGGGTGGGGGGTCTGTCCTGCAGTGCACACGGACACTTGCTTAGATAACTAAGGATGCTTATAAGGCCATGATCTGTGCACTCCCTCATAGGTGTCTAAGGACCAGCCCTGCGTTCTAGGTGCCAGGAGATGCAACTGGGGGGTCTTAAGTGAAGGCAGATGATGTAGAGGTAAAGGGGTCTGGCTTGTGGGGAATAGAATGGAGGGAGTATGAACCAGAGCACCACAGAGGCAGAGCCTGAATTAGTGTGACTTCCATGGAGGGGCAGAGGGGCTGATAGTTGTGTCCAGAGGAATGGGGAAGGGGACCACATGTGACTTCTTTTTCTCCTTTCCTCCCCGTTCAGCCCTGGGTACAGAGACCAAGATCTGGGGCCCTCTCAGAGGGCTCCACACAAAGATGGTGAGGCGGGAAAGGCCACAGACTTCACACCAGGTCTGGGGGACTCTCGGAGCCTCCTGTTCAGAGGTGGTGATAAGGGAGGTGGCATTACAGCTTTGTCCTTCACATCGCAGACATTCTCAGCAGGGACAGTTGATTTACAGCCAGGTTGGACAGAGAGGGAAAGGATACACCCCCTTTCTCCAACTCTCTATAGAGGCCCTAGAATAATGGGGGTGGGGTAGATGTCCAAGAGGTCGCGCAGGGCTGGCCACTATTGAAAATGAAGAGGGCGGGTCCAGAGAGCTATCCACCAGGCTCTTTGAGGGAAAGCAAGGCATTTCATCACTGCAGAGCTTTGAAATTAATTTCTTGCAATTAGAGCGAGAGCCCCAGCTCTGCGCACGTTCGACTTACCGCTCCGCTCTGCGGCAGCGGCTGTGCAGCGGGAACAGGACCAGAAAGGAACTGGCCCCACTGCTCCTGTCCTTCAGACACCTGATTCCTCCCTCTTCCAGGCCCACCAAAGTCACACAGGGGTGGGGAGCCGGGCCAGACTGGGATCCAGGCCTGGGGCCTGCACTGACCTTGTCTGGCCACTGTGCAGGCCTCGGTGTCCTCATAGTCGGTAAATCCCATGGACACGTGCTTCTCCCCAGCCCTGCAGGCACATGAGGTACTTTTATTGCTATGACAAAATACCCCACAAAAGCAACTTTAAGGAAGGGCTGTTTTCTCCTGGCTCATGGTTTGAGGGTGTGGTCCTTCCTGGTGGAGAAAGTGGCGGCAGGAGTCTGAGGCAGCGGCTCACACATCATCTGCAGCCAGGAAGCAGAGAGAGCGATGCATGCTGGCGCTCAACTCCCTTTTTCCTTTCTGTGCCGCCAGGGACCCCAGCCTAGGGAATGGCGCTGCCCACATTTACAACGGGTCTTCCCAATTTGGTTATTCCAGTCTGGGAAATTCTCCCCAGGCATATTCAGTGGCTTTGTCTCCCAGGTGATCCCATAACCTGTTGAGCTGACAATACGAGCCACCAGAGCAGATGTGTCTTCTGTTCATGCCTGTGGCCTGCACCTGACAAATCTCCTTCCCGTGGGGACAGGCACCATTCATGTCACCCTGTCATGGTCCTCCATGGGAGGCTGAGGTTGCAGAGCCCTTCCCTGAGTTAGGGGTCAGGAGCACATGGGGAAGTGAGTGCTCAGCTCTCCTAGTGTAGAACACTCGTGAGAAAGATGAGTCTCCTGCACCTGGATGGATGTCCTGGGTGGCTCTAACCTATGACCACCCAGCGGAGGCTTAGAACAACAGACTTGTCTCTTCCCGTAGTCTGAGGCCAGAAGTGTGAGGTGAAGGAGTTAGCGAGGCCATGCTCCCTCTGAGGACTTTTGGGGAGGGCCCTTCCTGCCTCCTCCTGCTCTTCGTGACTCAGGTGTGACTCACTGGCCCTAAGCATCTCTCAATTCAGGCAGGCTAACCACCAAGACAAAAGGCCAGACTGCAGCTCCTCAGTCTCATGAGGGGAACAGCTGGGGCCTGTGGGGCCATTACTACTCCCCTACCCGCATCCACACTCCTTCACTGACCATAGCCTAACAATGATCTCCTGAACCCCACCCAGTCTTGCACTCTCCTAGTCATACTAGCCTTTCGTGAGGTCACAAGGCCCAGAGTGCCCTTGGGATGGAACCAAGCTTCCCACCCCAATGGAGCAGGCTCTCTGCATCTGCTGAGCACTGTGGAGGCCAGCTGAGACTTACCCATCAGAACTGGTCTCTGAGAATGAACTCTGGGAGGTGGTACCTTATTTCCAGTATCCAGGGACTGAAGTGGGGTGGTTGATAACAGAGCAGCTGAAGAGGCCCTCAGGACCCCTGGAGCATCATGCCTGTGTGGTCCTCTGTGCTCCTCATCAGAACCTTTCCTAGCCCTCATGTGGTGTCTGGGCAGTCCCACCCCCCATTAGTTAATTCTGCCCCTTTGATACTTGTAACATGATGGAAACTCTAGAGAAGCATCCCAGGGCCCAGGAGCCGCTGCCTGCCATCATGGTGGAAAATAAATCTCCTTCCCGGGTAGCAGACAGTGCCTGCAGTATTTCATAATTGGCGAGATGAAGAGCCCCGGTTTTTTGAGATGTTTGGGAATAACTCAGTTTAAAAGACCACGTCCTAACAACCGGAATGGGCCGATTATTCCAGGATAATCCACTGAGAATTGTTGCTGCACGAGGTAGGGAAATGTGTCTGAATGATTGCCAAAAGTTTGCTGAGCATCTCATGTTCCCACTGCCAGGAGACACGTTAACGCCCATTTGTTAAGAATGTTTTTGAGGTTTATTTCCAATAGAAGGATTTGTTTCATTTAAGTGTGTCCTCTGAAATGCTTACGGTGACAAGGCCATCCATCTGCCCTCTCCCTCTGACTCTGCAGTCTGGAAGTTGCCTGAGGTCTATGACATCCCAGCCTTGTTGGGGCAAGAGAGAGATAGACCCCAGGCCAGTTGGAGAAGCAAGACATGCTCACTCATGGCATCTAGGGGCCAAGTCATCACCCAGCTGTTCCTCCAGAGGGACCACTGTGGTCCCGTTTTCCTGCTCTGGAGCATTGGAATTTCTATGGGAGCTGGTGGGAGTCTTCGTGGATACAGAGAAGAGCAGGTAAATGAAGAATGGAAACCTCAGGAGCATCTAGGACCACATCCCAGCATCTCGATTCCATGGGGACTTTAGAAGGAGCAAGGCCAGAGTGTTCCCCGTGGTGATAGAAGAGCAAGGTCAGGGTGTTCCCCCATGGCAACAGGGAAGCTAGGTCAGAGTGTTCCCCCATGGTGATAAAGGAGCAATGTCAGAGTGTTCCTCCATGGTGACAGAGGAGCAAGGTCAAAGTGTTCCTCCATGATGATAGAGGAGCAAGGTCATGGTGTTCCCCCATGGTTATAGAGGGTATTGTGTGACTATCAGGCTATCAATCCCAGGGCTCTTGGCTCAGAAGCTGTCTTTTCCACTGTAGAAACCTCCTTGTTGAATTCTCTGAGCTATGGGTGTTGGCTGTTGGTCAGAGCAGCCTACCCACTCAGATGCTTCCAGCTGGGTGGTAGCTGAAGTGTCCTTAGCTGAAGACCAGCTCATGGTATTCAGGGTTGGGCAGGTAATCCTGACACTCCTCTGTAGCCCACAGCCCCTGAGTTCTCTCTGTCCACTTCTCCCCTGTCCATCTAGCATCATGGGCTCCAAGCACACAGGGTATTTACAGTAGCCAGGGAACAAGGACCTTCTCTCTTTTGAGTACACTGTGTATCAGGGCCTCTTGTCCCCTGACCTCTCCCCATGTTCCTTGATTACCACCTGACTGGATTATGAGACTGACTTCTGGGTCTTGTGAGGAAGGGGAGGCCCCATGCTGCTCTGTTGGAGCCTGCTGACATCCCCTCCTGCTAGCTGAGGGATTCCTGCCAGCCCTGTGGTAACAGGTGGAGACCAGAAAGCACTGCTGTAATTAACAGCTTTATCTCAGAGCTCTCTTGGTTCCAGCCTGGGGAGCTTTTCATGCATTCTTCTCCAGCAAACAAGAGCCTTCCACTCCAGGATGAATGCCCCAGGAAGGCTAGGGATGGAAAATTCAGAGGGGGAAGCAAGGGTGGGTGGGATGATTTTCCATTAGCCTCAGTCACTGGGTCCCATGATTCCAGGTCCATGCACTCAAATCTGAATGTAGTGGGCCAGAAGGCATCTCCACCATGGGAAACTGAGTCAGGCTCCACTGTGTGCACCAAGCCTGGCCTGGGCTCTGTGAGTGCCCTTCCTTGGCAAAACCTTCCTTTCCAAAGGTGGCCATGGAACTAGGGAAAATGAAGTGGTCTTTGGGGGTTCTTAGCCTCACTACTAAAGGAATTTAAAAATGGACTCCGAAAGAAATTGGGGAACAATTTTATTAATGTTTGAGAGCAAAGCAACAGGGCAGGCAAGCTGTAAATCTCAGAAGCTGCCAGGAGGAGTTGGTGGAGAAAAAGCCACGACTTTGAAGTTAGGCACCAAGGTCAGAGGAACAGCAGGAAAGCCCAGATCATCTGGGCACGTGTACCGAGGCTGGCACATGAAAATTAGATTAAGAGAAGGAAAGGAAAACCATGCTTAGCACCAGGCCATGGGTCCAGAAGACTCCTGGTTCCGGGTTCTTGAGTCCCAGGATAAAGAACTGATCAGACATGTACATATACAGACAGATAAAACTAGATGGCTCATCTCTCTCTCTCTCTCTCTCTCTCTCTCTCTCTCTCTCTCTCTCTCGTGTGTGTGTGTGTGTGTGTGTGTGTGTGTGTGTGTGTTTAAAACAACAGAAAAATTCAGAGGTCATGAATTAGAGGGGTAGGGGAGCGTGGGAGGAATTGGAAATAGGAGAGAGAAGGGAGAAATGATGGAAATATAGTACTCAGGGAATTAAAGAAATAAAACATAATAAAAGAAAGAGAAATGGAGACAGGCTATTAAAAAAGGAAAAGCACTTTCAAGAATGAAAGTAGGCAAGTGGGAAGAGGGAGGAGCCCCAAAAGAGCTGGCCCAGGAGCTGCACTGTCCTTTCCAGGATGCTTACATAGCACTGCCTCTCCCAAGTTTGGACATCCTGGACTGTTATGGTGCATGCTCTATTAGCCAGATGAAGCCTAGCTTGGGAAGGGCTTCCAGTGTTCCTCTGAAAACTGGATTTTTTTTTAAATTGGAAATTCTAATCATTGAAGAACCAAGCAGGCACTCAAAGAGTTGGAGAAATTCAGCTTTATTTATTTATTGCACAGTCTTGGACCCAAGCTAGTGTTCTCTGCAAGTGCAGCAGTGGCCCACAGTTTCTTTCCGTTTCTACAGGTTAGACAGTGTTAGGTCCAAAGTGGGACCCAAAATGGCAGTGCTGCCGACAGTGTCCTACATGACAGTGTGGCCTCAGCTCTGGCTGGACTCTGACGAGGTAAATGGGAGGACGGCTACTCCTCAGCCGTCAGAAATCTTGTCTGTGCTCCTCAGAAATCTTGCGAAGTGGGGTTTCTGTTCGCCAGGAAAAGCCATTATTTCCCTTATCTGTCCCTACATCCAGCTACCTCTGGCAAAGGATATCTAGTTCCTGATTAACCCAGCCAACCCCAGTTCAAAATTCCCATGCTAGCCCCCAGGCTGTCCAGGCCCCGCAAGCCAACCTCCAGCAGCTAATTCCCAGGCTAACCCCTCCCCATCATGCTACCTGCTCCCCATAAAACTGGCAAAGCTTTCCCACCTGTTATTGTCTTCTGTCCTCTGAGGCAGCCTGGCAGTGTGTCCCCCAGTAAGCTTTCCCTTCTACCCACAATCTAGTTGGGCAGTTTCACGACACCCCAATGCTTACAGACAGCATTATTGAAATCTCTGTCTTATGTGGCCGTCTAAGAGGGTGGTCTTTGAGTCCCGTGCCCCCGAGGGAAATTCCCATTAGAGTTTGACATGCTTGCTGGAACAGACATTTCAGGGAGCAGTTCAAACCAGGATCTATGGTTTGACCAGGCAGCTGCGGCCATCATTCCTTAAGGCGATTTCTTGAGAGCATTTGCTTCTCGTGATAACAGGATGGGGCTCTGCCAAGCTATTACAACCAGGCACACTTAATTAAAACCTGAAGTCCTTCTATTCCTACACAATCCCTTAGTTTCTAGTCAAGGACTGTTATTCTGCTATCATAATACAAAGTCGTAATTTGATTTTCTGAAGTGCATTTATAAGGCTACAAAATATATATCCCTTGTCCTCTTTAGCCTGAGCATATTCAATTTGTTGTGTAAAGCCCAGGTGAAGAGGGGCTTTGAGTCTTCCTCTGCAAACTGGCCCGAGCATGTTCTTTTTGTTCTATGAAGCTCGGCTAAGGAGGGGCTTCCAATCTTCCTCTGCCAAGTGGCGGCTTCCCTGTGTCAGGCATGATGTTTCCGTCTCTATGTTCTTGCCACGGTGTTTTCAGGCATGGCTTGCTCAGACATGCCTGACATCTCCATTTGTTCTGAGATCGCCATTGCGGTATAGACCACGATGCCTGCTTCTCCTGCAAACAGGCCCATGTGACTGAAACAAAATTTGAAAGCAACCCCTGAACTTGAGCAGATCCATCTGAACTCTGTATTTCTGTTTGCTTTCTCTTTGACGTTTCAAAAGGTTTAGCCATATTTGGCCTGATTTTCATGGAGCCCTGCCTCAAAAGTGGCAGATGCCCTGCTTATCACAGACCTACTGTTCCTCTCTATTGTCCTGGCCTTGGGCTACCCAGACAGCAGACTCTGGATCCACCTGTCCACCTTCCCTTAAACTATCTCTGTGAGCAAAGAAAGTGGGTGGGACATAGAGGGAGCCATTGCCTGTGCCAGAGAGAGGGAGGAAGGTAACCCAGAAGAGTGGGGGCTTCTGGGCAGAGGCTGGGGGCTTCCTGGCACTCTGAGGTCATTAGAGATGCTAAAGAAGAGTCTAGGGATGCTTAGGATCCCAGAACATGCAATTGTTCAAGCATCAGTGCCTGCCAGTGTCCTGGAGGCAGATTGTACAAGCGTTATCTGTGGGAACACGTCCTCTAGTGGTGGGTGGCAGTCAGGTGGGTCTGGCTTCAAAGCTCTGTGTCCACGGTGCTGACTACCTCAGCTCAGAAAGCTGTGTGACCTTCCTGAGACTTGGCAGTCTCTCTAGAGCATGGGGTTAATTCCAAGTGACAGAATCTGGAACAACATAAGGGTAGTCCCCATCCAAGTTCTTCAGAAGGACCACAGAAGTCATTTCTTCCCTCTGTCCCACAGTCTCCTGTTCTTCCTACATTCCTCAGGTCCCTTGCCATGATAAAAGCATCCACAGTTGGTTCAGGCATGATGACCTTGTCTTCCTAAACCATCTGTTGCCTAACTTTGTCCAGACATGATGGTTGTGCCCCTCTGTCAGGCTCTGGTTCACTTAGTGTCTCACTCCAACTCTACCCAGATGACTATACCAGGAGCATAATGAGTACTAAGTGGGAAAGATGTCACCTGTGGCAAGACACAGAGCCAGGCGCCAGTGGGGCTAAGTCTAGACCCTTGTTCCAGGTTCCTACCTGGGTACTGATGTAACCCTGCAGTGTAGGTATGCCCATCAGTGAGCATTGGGTTGGGTGGGTGATGTAGCCCTGCAGTGTAGGTATGCCCATCAGTGAGCATTGGGTTGGGTGGGTGTGCTGTCCCCAGATGCCCCAATCCCAGA